GTAGTTCTGCACTCCTTAGCATCAGTTATTTATTTCTACTTCTATATCTGGGAACTTTCTATGACATTGCATGATGTGGGGGCAAACAACTTGCTCAGACTCTTCAACTCTCCACTGTTACAGGAAGCTCACATGAGTAAGATGAAATGTAAGCATCATCATCTTGTGGTTGGTGCATGAGTATCATCCAGAATATCTGCTGCAGGTTGATCTAGGTTGGCTTTAGGTGCCAGAGTCTGTGAACCTAGCTGTTAAGAGGTAGCGCACAGGCTCTTTATGCTAATAACAAGGTATGGTCAGTGTTCCAGTAACCAGTGGTCCTTTGCAGAGATCTTGTGGAGGAGGATGGTCTCTGCTTATGCCCTCAATGAAGAGATAAAATCATATCACAGCCTGTTCAACATCCCATGGTAATGCTTCTCTTCCTCAATCATATTTCCTGTCAGTGATGTTTTGGTGGCCACTAGGCAATTTGAATGTTTCTGGCTTTGTTCAGTTTTCCTGACTGACACACACAAAAAGTTCTGTACAACTGATATGGCATATCAGTTCTCTAGTTATATGGAAACTTTGTATTTTGTTCAATTTGTATGACCAGTTGTCCTCCTCTTTCTGTGCTGGGGAAGGCCAGAACATGCCAGAGAGGGTTCGAGGAGCACATGTGCTCCATGGGTAGATAACACAAGGAGGTAGGTTGACTAAATGCTGATTGGTATGCTCTTGGCACCACATGTAGCTTCAAGCTACTACAATGTTGTCCTTTTTCTCAGAGTTTCCTTCCTTCCTTTTGACATGCTAATGTTTCTTAAGTTTTGAAGAGGGTTCAATACACTCAAATCTTCCCAGGTTGCTCTCTTGCAATGGGTATGTTCTCCCATTCTGTCCCTTTGGTTGCTTGTGATGATCATCCTAACTTCAGAGTGCTAATTTCTTAGTGGAAGTGTCTGTCCTTTGAAAGTTCTTCTGTCTTAGGTCCAGGAACAACAACATTCTCCCTACTCTTACCAACCTCAGAAGCCTTTTGGAATGCACGTACTTCAGCGAATTCAGGCTGTGAGGTGTGCTGTGCCGTGTAAGTATTGTAGTTCATGATTCATGGTTGCCAGTAGTCTGAGGTTTCCGTTCCTTCATCCACCTTTAACCTCAACCATTTAGGGTTAGACAGGTGTGACTTCTGTGGTATTGATACCACACAGTATTGCGTTCCAGGGAACTGTTTGTAAGCTGTTCAGGAAAGAGACTGCTTAATGACCTGACCTAGGATTCTTTGGTGCGGTAGTCAGGCCACCCCACTTACGTTTCTCGCATTTTGTGGCTGGATAAGACCATGATGAGTTCAGACTCGTGCTTCTCAGCCTGTATGATTTCCTGAGCCTTCGCGAAAGAGTTGGTGGCTGTCCCTACCTGCCTTAGTCTTCTGGAGTTTTCTCTTTCTCTTTGCATGGGTAATTAGCTCATTAAAATGAGAACGAAAGGTGAAAGTTCTTCAGTTCTAAGGTTATCAGAAAAGGGAATTTGTCACAGACTTTCAGTGGATATTCAGAACCTCCTGTCTCAGATTTGCATTATTCATTGGGATAATTGCATTCTTACTTGTGTTGACTTGCTTACTGACAGAATAGCATTACTCGTGTAGTGTTGTGGTGCAGCTCATGACTTCTAGATTGATGTTCACTGGGAAAGGCTGACTTGTCCCTTCTTGACTGTGGTAGTTAACAGCACTAAGGAGTCTGCTAGATGACTGAGTTCTCTTTTAGGTGCATGTATCACTATAGCTCCTCTTTAACGCCTCAGCACTAATTATTTTGGGATTCCTCCTAAAGCTGTACCTTTGGCCAAGGTCTACCTGACGGCCATTTTACTCATCATTACCAGCTAGCTGGATCTACGGTTCTCTGACTACCTGCTTTCTGGGGTGCTGGTCAAAGGTCGTCAGTCAGGGCCTTTATTTGTCAGCAGGACTTCAGCCTTTGGGTACAGATTCTAAGGGGTTTAGACTTCCAGCTTCCCTGCTCCCTTTCATATCTGTCCATTGAACATAGCTTTCCTGATGGCTGTTTTTCCATGCTAGGATGAAGAAAATTCACATTGTTACTGGTCCTTTTAATGCTCTCTTCTTTAAGACTGGTATGTCATTGTCAATTTTAATTGGAAAAGTCATTCTTCTCTTTTCCCCAAGCCTCTTGCTACTGGTGCTGAATCTATATTTTGCACATCTGATGTCAGGAGCATTTTGACTGACCTTGTAGATCATGACCCTTTCAGTAGTGTCTGAGGATATTTGTTTCCACTGCTGGAAAATGCAGCTGCTCCATGCAACGGCTATCGAAGAGCAGAGTGGGTTATACTCAGAGGTGCTACATTCAGCTTGTTGCCTACAGGGACTGGGAGTTCTTGGGGTGCATGAGTCTGTGTTGTTGCAAGTTGAGTTGACTGAACAATGGAACAGGTTGCCCAGAAAGGCAGAGTCTCTCTTTTTGGAGATCTTTTTGGAATTCAACAGCCACCTGGATATGGTGCTGGGCAAGCTGCTTTGGGTGTTCCTGCTTGAGCGGCAGTGTTGAACCAGATGAGATCCAGAGGTGCCTTCCATCCTCAACCATTCCATGACTGAGTTCTTTCTTCCGAGGTGTAGGACCTTCCATTTGTCCTTGTTAATTATTTTTTTAAGGTCTGTGTCGACCTATTCTTCCAGCCTAAGTTGTTCTGGATACTTGCCTTCCAGTGTATCGGCTGATCCTCCCCCTCCCTCCCCCAACCACCTTAGTATCATTCAAAGATTTAATTGCTATTATGCAGTACAGTTCTTGGGATAGATTCCTGTGGTACTCCACTTTTATAGGCCTCTGAGTAGAGTATAACCCATTAACTGCTACCTTCTGAGCCTGAGCATTCACTGCATCATTATACATTACAGAATCATCGAGGTTGGAAGAGACCTCCAAGATCACCTAGTCCAACCTCTGACCTAACACTATCAGTCCTCCACTAAACCATATCACCAAGCTCTACATCTAAACGTCTTTTAGAGACCTTCAGGGGTGGTGACTCAACCACTTCCCTGGGCAGCCTATTACAACGCCTCACAACCCTTTCAATAAAGAAGTTCTTCCTAACATTCAACCTAACATCTAATTATCCTACATCTAGACCCTAATGTCCTAAGTTTGATACAAGAATATCATGGGATCAGTGCCAAATGCCCTTCTGAAGTTGAAGTAAATGATATCCATGACTTTCCCATTACCCATATATCCAGTGATTTTATAACAGAAGTCAGTGAGGCTGGTCAGATACGATTTACCAATGGCAAGTACTTGACTGTTAACAATCACTTTCCTCTTATTTCTGTGCCCAAGAATTTGTTTCCAGTCAAGGACTTGTTCCTTGATTTTCTCAGGGACAGAAGTGAGATCAATTGGCCTGTAGTACCCTGGATTGTTCTTACATTTTCTGAGGATGAGGGCAATATTTGCAATATTTGCTGTCATTTGGGAATCTCAAATGATTTGATCAATGTATTAATTGTCATGATTTAAAAAATATGCGGCCTTGCAAGGATGTTGGCATTTTCTCTCGTATCCTTGAATGCAGTCTGTGGGGTCTGATGGACTCTGATGGACTCAGGTAGGGCTGAATTCTTGCAAGTAATCTCTGACTAGATCCTTACCTCCTGCTGGTTGCTCTTTTTTTCCTTGAACCCTGCCTCTTAAGCACAGAGGAATGGGAGACCTTGCTGAAGCAAAGAAACCAATGAGTTACTCAGAATTACCTGTTTCTCCAGTCGCTAATTCAGCAACAGGCCCAGACTTCCCTTGTTCAACCTTTTATTGCTAATATAACAGTAGAAGCCCTTCGTTTTGTCCTTGATATCTCTGCAAGTCTCAACTGGAGTTGAGCTTTGGCTTTTCTGTAAGCATTGCATTGGACGTGCATGGACAGCATTTTTAAATTTCTCCTTACCTACCTGGCTTCCTGAGAATCAAGGTCTTGCCCTTGGAGGATGCTGTCCTTAAAGAGCAGCCAGCTTTCCTGAGCTGCCTCGCCCCTCAGAGCAGCATCTCATTGGGATCTCACCAATTTTCTGAATCAACTCAAGTCTGCTGCCTACTAATACTCTTCCTTACTCCTTTCAGGATCTTCAACTCCAATATTTCGTGGTTGCTACAGTCAAGGCTGCCACTGATTCTCATACCCCAACCAGAACTTCCTTGTTACTGAACAGCAGAGCCAGCTTTGCATCACCCCTGGTTGGCCCATCCAGTACCTTTATAATGAGCTTGATCCTGACACTCTCCAGAAATATGCTTGCCTGCTTGTGTTATGTGTTGCTAGCCAGCTTTATGGCAAAAATGCATTTCCCTCAATTTGTTGGGTGAATCCCATTTTCTCCTAGCACTGCTCATCCCTCAGAGGGGGCTCTGTGATCATAAAAGCCAAATCCCTGTTGTCACCCCTAGTTGCACAACAAGATGTTGATCTGCAAGTATCCATCTGTTCCTTCTCAAGTCTTTCTCCTTCAGTGAAGACCATCTGGGTCTCCATGCCTTTGACTCTTTTCCCCAGAGCTTTGCCCCATTCAAGGTCAATAAATAAAATTAAAACCAGGGATGCTTCACCTGGTAAGACACATACTGAACAGGAGGAGTGAAGATGAGAACGTTCTTCCTGTGGACACTGTTTGGGGAGGTTTTCTTGTCTCAAGTAACAAAGCACAAGTTTACCTATGGTTGCCTACTGCTTCCCTCACATAGCATTGCCTGCTGGTATGGAACATTAACTGGTTTTGCAATGAAGGCGTGTCCTAAATGATTTTTTTCTTGAATTTTAATGGAAATGCAGTGGATAGAATCCATTTTTCTTTGGTGATAAAGGTGTCTTAGGCATAATAGCACACCCTTTTTGGACTCTGATTTAAGACAAGGCTTAAGCACAGGTAATGTTATCGAACTTCAAGTAGGAATTTCTGTTCAAATGTACTTTTTCACTCTTATTTTTAGGTATTTCAAATTACTGTGAAAGATACCGTGAAGGTATGAAACTTGTTCTGAACACCTTCGGACCAGTTCCAGAATTTTCAGGCGAAACTGAGCAGAAAATCAGTCAGGTAAATATATGGAGAGTCAATAGATGCAATGACTTTCAGAACCAAGAATGTTAGCTTTTGTTTTAATGTATGTATAATTACAATTTACTGTTAGAGACAACTGTAATCTATTTCTTGTGTGAATGTGTACCTTGAGCAAAAACATTAGTACAGAATATGTATGATTATGTAAGTCCCTGTTCCAAAGCACTTTGAAGTACATCAAGGGAATACAATCTAGCAGGTGAGTAACATTACTAGGAGTCAACTGATAACAACTGTGGGTTGTTTATGTTAAGTCCCCCATGCTATTTCTTACTGTGTCTGTCATGTTCTCAATTGTTACATGCACAGCTCCAAATTTCCTTTCCTACACAACGACTTTTCTCTCTGTGTCTTCCTCCTACTCAGTCTTCCTGCATAAGTCCTATGGCTTTTTTCCTCCAGCTGTTCTATTGATTTAGTATATTTACAAGCTAGATCTCCAGTCTGTAATGAATACAAAGGCGTGTTTACGTTAAGCATGTGAGCAGTCTGCTAAGGCTATTTGCATGCTTACAGAAAAGATGTGTTTTTTAAGTGCTATGCTCTATCAGGACCTAGTATGTCTATTATGTTTCAAAGCCAACAATTTGTTTATATTCACCATATAGGATATTATGTGTGTTCATAGCAGTTAACTCCAAAGTATTGCCATTTCCTAATTCTACCTTTCAACATTGCCTTTTTTAATGCTTTGCTGAAGAATGTGTGTATAATAAATTGTTTGTGTTTAGCTGTCACACGTTAATTCCATATATGCAGGCACTCTGTCTGGAAAATAGCTTTTTGTTCCTCTTTATGTTAATGCAATTTCAACATCAGCTATGTTAAAATGGAAGATTTTTCTACGCTTAAACAATATAGTCTGCTTGTAATAACAATCTATGACAACTGTGGAGCTATTCACAATTAGAAGCTTTTAATTAAAATGAAACAGGTTGGTTTTCTTTAAGGAATGCCAGATTCCAGTTCAGCATCTGTTTCTGCGCCTATTATCTGCAGTTTTCAATGCCAAAGATGAGCTTGCAAGAATCCTCTCTTAAGAGTAAACCATTAAACATCTCTTATCTTACTCATCTATCCCTCCCCCTGATTTTTTTTTTCTGGAGTGACTGCAACTTGCCAATTATTAGTAGCAGAACCAGGTTTTATCCGGTTTCTCAAAAATTGCTTTTTAAACTGAAGACCTCAGGTGCTGCTTTGGCAAAGATGGCCTTGTAATCTGTATCTCCAATCTCAAACCCAGCTGTTTTTCCTTAAATGAAAGTCCGTTTCCATTGTGCTAGCTTGCTTGAGTTTTCTATCTGTTCTTCTACCTTCAGTGGTATATTTAGCAGATACATTTGGCAAACTTTGTTTATGCACTCAGTAGCACTTTTTTTCCCCTCCATTTACTTGCAAATAGTATTTTTGCCTTCTGATTTGTTCAGGCTTCTACCTTCGGACCCTTAAATAGTGCTATGTTCTTTCCCACATTTTCCATTAAAAAACAAAAATAAAATTATAGGTTTGTTCCATCTCTTTCCCTGTCATTTCGACTGTAACTGGCATTCCTAAAACAGATGTTTTCAAAAAAACATGTTATCTATTATTAGATTTATTAGGAGCCAGAAGAGAGACTACAGTGTTACATATACACACACAAATTTGGTTTAGAGCATATGTTTAGCAATATGAAAGTCCAGGTGTCCTCCTTCCTACTTAATAAAAGATTATTGTCAAGTAGGCGAGACAGTGGCTGTGTGGGGTAAACTGAGAAAAGAAACTGATGCACTAATGTTTCTGTAGGCACCTTCATTGCAACATTCAAGCCAACCTTCTCCAAGTGGGAGCACTTCTCTCATACAGGTTAGCTAATTTCCAGTCAGCCACATGAAGGCTTAGTGGCCTATTGCCTGTGATAGACTATATGACAGTTTGTATTGAAGGATACTTGTTCTGATGCAGCGAAAGCAAGAAAATAATCCTTCTTACTACTCAGGAAAACGAGATTTAATCATCTCCTAAATTTTCTGTTTCAGGCAATGTCTGAAAAAATTCCAGTTGTTCCGAAACACCTCAATGCCAGGAGGGAATGGAGAGATGAATGTCTTACTGGTCTTGCCAAGCTGAAAAAACAAATGTCATCCAACTGAGGTGCACCTCACCTAACAGGAGAGACCAAATGAAGAGCAGTTCTTCATAAAAAGTGGAAAATTTTGGTCATGCAGAAGAGGAGACTGAATGTGCAAGCACTGATATGCACTTGTATAGAGACCAATGAAACTTTTGGTCCAGTTTTTGTCACGACATAATTCATGAGTAACTGTAAACAGTTATTAAAAGTTCAGTTAAAACTTCATCAAATTATATATATGCATTGGATGTGCAAGTATTAAGTAGCTTTAGCAGTATGAATATTGTGCAATGCTGGAACACAATCATCTTTTAACGCATTTTTCTAGCTTGTTTAGAAATTCAGCGCTTGAAAAATATTTGCTTATGCAGGGATCTGAATTTGGCAAACATCAGCTGTTTGTCACTGGAGAAAACAAGCCCTCACCCACCAATCAATGTGGCAGTGAGGTTAATTTGTAAAGCACTGACTGTAGGTAGGGGGAGGTTGTCTTAAGCAAAGAGGAGATTTGCTGGCCAGTGAGCTGAGACCTCAGCAGCAGTAAGGGTCACTTCAGCTTAGCTCTGTAGCTGTTCCACAATGTAAGGGAAAGAATTATTCGTTCTTTCCCTCCTTTTGGCACTTCTGTACTAGTGTGATGATCTAAATGTGAGTAAATAGTTCCCTCCCTCATCCCCACCCCTGGTTCTGAAGATTTACCAGAGACCTCTGCTCAGTTCTTCAGACCATGCACTTGATACCCCATGGCTTTGCCCAAACTTCAGTCAGGTATGACTACCTGTCCGTAGGCATTGCTGCGTAGACGTATGATCTATTCTAAAATTTGCCTGTGAGAAATAAAGTACTGTGATGAAAAATTGTTTTGGGAGATGCCGTGGTATAGTGGATTGGTCTGGACTCTTCCAGGCTATTCCACAACCTTCTGAGTGATCTTGGGAAGCCAGCTCCCTGCTTTGTTTCCTTGTCTGTTTTGTACATTATCAGAAACAATCAGTGTTTCTTTAGGACTCAGCTGTAGACTTCAGGTATCTGATATTTTGCTCCCCTATAGAAGATGCAGTGGCTTAGGTGTGAGGCACAACGTTTGTGTAAAGGTGGAGGGTGCAGCTGGGGGTAGAAGTGTCTCCTGGTGCTGCAGTGGCGTGCTTCAGTCCACAGAGGACAAAGTTGCTTACAAATGTGTGTACCGTGTAATATAGCTGGATTTTGATTTTAGCTGGAACCTTGGGGCAGCATTGTTATGCAGATAATAACTTGAAACAGTGCACTGCACCCAAATTACTCAAGTTAAGCATTTCTGAATCTTGTGCCAGCTGGTCACGTAACTTCAACTACAGCACATATCCCAAAGCGTTAAGCTCTTGATTTGCTAATGCTCAGCTCAGGGGCATTTCAAATCTTCTTCATTACAGAAGATGCAGGTACACAAACAGGTTACTACAGCTTAATTCGTTCTGGTGCTGAACAGCAGCAATGTCTGCATGTGTACGCTAACAATACTTACTTCTGCATGGGTTGCAATGAACGAGATCTGAGATAAACTGCATCGCTTGATGCACGTGGTGGGCCAAGAGCACGTCTCTGGACGTGAAGCATGGGATGGGAGGCATGATGCAGAGATTGCCCTGTGCTCTTTTATAATCAGCAGAGAGAAAGGAGAATTCGTAAACTCAATTTATTTTATCCCAATATAGACCTAAAATTGTCAAATTTCTTCTAATGCTTTTTATTCCCACAGTGACTGGCACAACCTTCATTTAGCCATCTGAAGTTGGGGAGGTCAGCCCTCGCTCTTGGTGCCTTATTAAGCAATAATAAATTAATTGGGGCTGATTTCCTCACTTGATGTATGTTTTTGTATTTTAGACAAGGCCTCAGAAGGTTCCAATTACTTTCAAGATCAGACCTGCTCCGCTATGAGCATGTGACACTGTCAGAACTAATTAACTCACATTGCTTTTTTTTCTGAGATATTTTAAAACTCGATCATGTCATCAAATATTTGCCTCCATTTTTATTATTTGCTTATGAATAAAAGATTTTAATGAGAAAGGTGTTCTCCTGTGGTATTGTGTGATAACTCCAGTGGTAGCACTACATCTTTCTCTTGAGAAACCAATGCCTCGATAAAACAATTTATTGAAGTCGATGGGAATAAATAGGCAAGGAATAATGTGCAGTCTCCAGCAGCTCTTGTGTGAGTGACCGCTTGCTGCAGACGCTGGGCCCTGCTGCAAGGGAGCGGTTTTCTCTCTGGGCAAAAGCCTTGGGAAGGAATGGGAGGGTGCCAGAAATGCTCCAGTGTGGTGACCCAGCTCCTCGCCAGGTCAGGACACAGCACAGCTCACCTCAGAGCACTGCTCCCCACCCAGGCCCACAGCTTCTGCTGGGGGAGAGGCTCAGCAAAAAAATGTATTCTGGCTGGCATTTGCTTAGGATTTGAAGCACACAAAATTACTACTTAATAAATATAACAACAACTGGAAAACATTAAGAAAAGTTAGCTAAAAGGATGTGATGGGCTCTCTTCTCCCAAGGTTTTGTACCCTATTCACAACTGATCCCTTTTGATCAGCAGGAGCTTGGACCAGAGACCTCCTAAGCTCCCTTCCAGCCTCAGCTATCCTGACTCCAAGTTTCCTTTGATTTTGGCGTAGTTTGTATCAAAAGTTGTTGTGGCTTAAGCAAATTAGCCTCAAAGAAACATATATATATAATGTTAATTCAAATTATGGGATGCAAACTCCTGGTTTCTAGACCTGCTATAAAGCTTTTTTCTTTTTTCTTGTTTTTTTTTTCTCTCTCCCTGATTTTCCTCTCCAGTCTTGCCTTCTCTCTCTCTCCCCATCCTCTCTCCCTTTTCACTTTTTTTTCCTTTACTTTCCCCTCTTGGCTTTCTCCTAACAGTCCATCAATAACTACTTCCAGGATATTTAGCTGGTAATTTGCAGGGAACTGCTTATAGGCCTGTGCAATTGGTCTGCTAATTGGGTGTTGAAGAATCCCTTCTGGGAAGCAACTTGTTGGAGCTGAACTGCTTGTCAGACACACATCCTGATTCTGTTAAATTAATTGGTTTAATTACTTTCAAATTTGTGTCACTCCTTTTGTCCTATTTTTTTTTTTTCTTAAATGCAATAGACTTGCAGTGATAGACTGCACCTCAAGTGTGTTACGAGGACTTTTAACACCAACAGTCCTAGCAAGTTGCAGAACTACCCAGCTAAGGTCAAATATTTATTTTGTTTGAGTATTAGCAGAAGCAGCAAGGTTCAAGCAATTGTTCTCTGGTAAACTAAGAGATATTCTGAAACAATTTCTCATGTGGTTTGTTTTTTATGTAACTGTGTATTTTAAAATCCTCTATTGTTTTTAATGATTACATCTCTAGGTCATTTTTAAACCATATCTTTGTCACACTGTATTCTCTGTTTTACCAATTTACTATTGATCGTTTTCCTTGTTAGGTGTATTTTACTATTAGTTACTAATAGTAAATTAGTATATTTGAATTAGTTATTTTTATTGGAAGCAGACTAACCGTGTTCATATCAAAGCCAATAATTTAATGCTGGTAGGAAATTCAAACCAGTGATTTTGTGTCATCTGAAGAATAAAGGGCAGATACAAAGAGATACTCAGCTGCTTCGTTGAAGAAGGGTCAGTCCCTCCTTTCCTACATCTCTGAATGTCGTGGAAGTAGTTTGCTTCTGGCAAAGCAGGAGCATGAATTTACTGTCTGTAGTCATTCTGTTGGGTTAAAATGAGTATTTTGTGATTGACATTATTTAGTTGGAAAGGTACTAAGATATAGTGTTGTCCTATCTACATCATCTTTTAGGCAAAAATCAGCTGTCTCGTTTGGAAAGCAGGATAGTGCTGAATTAAGAGCAGGATGAAAACTAAACAGGAAAAAAAAAAAAGGTTTTCAAGACAAAATGATGTGACTAAGTCTTGGTTCTCAAAACCAAGGTGTGATACACTGCAAGTGCCTGTGTAGTTACAGGTCAGGATTGCATTGCCATAGCGTGGAGTTACAAAAAGACCTTGGGGAACATGCAGCTGTGGTAACCTGGCAGAGATGGAGATACAGGAGGAGTCCTCCACGAGGATGGGAGCCTGGAAGACTTCAACAGAGCAACTAGTGTGTCAGTAGGAAAATGAAATGCTCTTTTGCTTCCTAGTCTTGAGGAGAAATTTTGCATTTTAATTTGGGTCTAGTTAACGAAGTGTAAATGGCTGTGTTTGTGCTGGCTGCCTGCTCCCCTTCCCCAGGATCCAGTGCACGGTTGTGCTGCCAGGGTCCTCAGCTGCTCTATGCCATCGACTTGTCAGGTGTGTGCACGTGGGGGTGTGCTATCACAAATCAAAGCGAATGGAGAGACAAAAACTGACCTCTGGGGAAAGCTCCCATTTGCTTTGACATAGCTTTGTAGCAACCTAGTGTAAAAGGGCTTCTCTCAGTTATATTCAGTGATCTCAGAAAGAGGAAGGAACTCCTGCCTTTGTTTCCACGAAATTCAGAGGACAGTTTTGCAATGCGCCAGGCTGCTTAGGGTTGCAGGTTTGCTGGGAAACTGCACGAGTTATCTCTTTAAAGTACATTCAGAGAAATTCTCCATAGGGTCGCACATCCCTCAGCATTTTCCCTTCCCAAAATATTATGGGCACGTATGAGACAACGTTCTGATGACAGAAGTCCCAGAAATGTCTCTGCACTTTGGGGACTGACAGGTCCAGCTCTGGGTCCAAGCCACGGCACTCGTGCGTGGGGTTTCTTCTTCAGTCTCGGTGACCTTGGCTTTGTAGAGTTCTTTCTCCTGCTTGGATTTCAGACCTGCACTCACAAGAAGTGGAGATGTACAGGGGGCAGAAGCATCCAGGATCTTGTTTATCTGTGAGTGAAGTGCAGCCTAATGTGGAAAGGTCAAGAGCCCATACTTACATGTGAATATAGGAAACCTTTGTGCTGAAGTTAAATTTTTGCTTTTTATTTTTTAAGATTCCATTTTATAGAATATAGGCCTGTAAATTTGCCCCGGATGGGATGTTTGTAAAGTTTAGTTTAAGCCCAGGTGACAATTACTGTCACAGAATTGAGCACTGCCCAGGGAAACCTGAACTCCAAATGTGTCCAACACCTCTGGGCTGCCACGACAAAAAGTGATGTTTTCCAGCGGAAGGCATTAAAAAGCTCCTGTAATTTCATCTATTGTGAAAACCTTCCTCTGTACTTCTTACAGGTTTTAACATTGGATCTTGCACTTAGCTTTACAGTATCATAATAATACATACTTTCCAGATGAAGCCACAGTTGCTTGTTTTGGGCTGCTTCAAACCGGTAAGACACCGCAGTAACACAATGGGAGCATTTTGTGCAGTGCAAGGAGGCAGGGATGAGGCTGGAAAATCCTTGCTGTTGATCTGATATGACCAGAGAAAGGCTGTCATTTAGCTAGGAGGTGCTGGGAACAGCATTGATGGAACTGGTTCTTCTGAAAGAGAAATTATTTGGATTTTTGTTGTTTGTTTGGCTTGCCCAGTAACTGCTTAAACATGAATTAAAACTGGCACTGCCAGTGGGAACCATCTACCCTAGTGCTTCCCCAGAGCAGCCACCTCAGTGAAAACCTTGGCAATGTTCATGTCCCAATGTCCTCCCCTTCCTCTTTCTTTACTCCAGATGTTATTGAGCATGATGCCTTATGGCATGGGATGTCCCTTTGGCCAGGCTGGGCCAGCTCCTGGCTGTGTCCCCCCCCAGCTCCCTGTGCACCCCCAGGGACGTCGCTGGCAGGGCAGCACCAGGAGCTGCAAGGCCTTAGCTCTGTGCGAGCACTGCTCTGCAACAACTGAAACGTCAGCACTATTTAGTGTTATCAGCACGATTTTCATCAGAAATCCAAAACACAGCATCATACAAGCCTCTGCAGAGAAAATTATCCCAGCCAAAACCATGACATCCAGAAAGTGTTTATGTGCAAAGACGAGCTGTTGGAATCACTGGTGTGACGCAAAGAAGGCAGACAAAGAAGTGCAGAGCTTTCTACGTCCCAGAGCACCCTAAGACCACAATTTTCCAATATTACTCAGCAGGGTCATTTCAAACCCATGGAGTAATGGAAACAGCTGCTTGTGCCATTTCAAACATGTGGGGTAGTGGAATTAGAGAATTGCAAAACCAGGCAATTTGACTGAATGGGTAGCACCTGGATGTGATGCACATCATGCCAGAGTATATGGAGTAGCAGCAAGTATCACCATGTAATTCTGCAATCCAAAACCATGTCTTGCATTGGCTTTTAGTGTGCTTTTTTAGGAAGAAACATTAATTCCAGACATTGACTCCCTGCTATCAAAATTAGTATCAATACCTACTAAAGGGTGACCACAGAAGTTTGATCCATTTTTACAGTCTGAATACAGCTACAATTGCTCAGAGAGGAGCATCATTCTTCTCTAGCCTGTCATCTACAAAACAAGAGCCATTAAAGTTGGCTTATTGGCAAGAGAAAAATACAAAATTTCTAATAAGATGCAGGTATTATTTATATTACTATAAATGAAAGAGTTTTTGTTTTGTTTTGTTTTGTTTTTAGTAGCCTGAGCTTTATCTTCTTATTTATTAATCTGACCCTAGTATCTGAATGCTTTAGTGTAAACAAAACCATTAGATAGGGATTAATGCAATCATATTTAATCATCAGTAAAAGTGAGGTACGTGCTAGTGTTGTCCTTGTATGCTGTATGAACAGTGCTTACTGTGTCTGAGTATACCTTATTTTCTTTAGTTGTTAAAAAATACCCTGTTCAGACTTCTCTGTGGTCCTACCTTGGGATAATGCTGCCCTAACAACTCATCACACTGCTGTCGTATAGCTGGCAGAGGCAAACTACTCGGAGTGGGTGCTGACTGGATGCCCAGGTAAGTATTGCCGTGCCCACTGTGTTAGCAGTTCTGTCTCTGTGCAACATTTATTAGTCTGTATATTCAGAGCAAAGAAAAGTGCAATTTCCCACTCCCACCTCTCCTGTAACATACCTGTGTGTTT